AGGAATACAGGTAAAGCTCATCAAATAATGTCAGGTGGCAAGGATCAAACAGTAGGTAACATTTCAAAAAGATCTGAGGGCTTAGTCTGAGTCAGTGTCTGTCAAGTAAGGGGGTTGCAAAACTTTGGGAGACATACTCATTTCCTGCTTGGACCCTTATCATATGAATGAAAGCACTCTTAGCAAAGCAGGCTTCACAGAACTTTACAAATTCTTTCTTACACCCGATCACCCCAGAACCCTCTCTAGCCAGCAGAGAACTTACACTCCCCATCATAGGTTTTTAGGCTCAAGTGGATTAGAGGCAGGAAGTGCTTCCCCAAGATGGAAATGGGAACTCAGGCTATGTCAGAATAGCCAGGGGGAGAGGGTCCATCACTCCCTCTGAAGGATGGTACCAGTCATTGACTAACCAAACAAGCCTTGGGGGCAGCAGATGAAGCAGAAGCAGTGCTGCTGCCAGAGATAAGCTTTGCTCTTTAGTGGCTTATAGTCTGAAGGTCTCTCACTCAGCTTTATCCGTGGTGAGGCAGTTACAACTCATAAAACTAGACAGAGCAATTCCCAACAGATATGGTTGATGGAAGATGGACTAATAACAAATTGCCTATTAGTCTTTCGAAGTCATCATTTTATTTACTCAACATACTCCTAGGATTATTATCTTAATTTCTTCTGAGAATAACAATCCAGAGTTACTAAAACATTCAATGTGTGTGCAAACATGTGTGTGTGGGTATGCATATGCATAAATGCAGGATATATCTACGTTTTTAAAAATTGTAATACTGTTATTTTAAAATTTTATACTATTAAAAATACACTTGCATTTTGACATGTGGGCCACCAGTTTCTTCCTGTGTTCTAGGCTAAGTGTTAAATTTATTTTTAATTAGAATAACATTCACCATGTAGATTTTTTAAAATTTATTTCTTGTTTATTTTTAAGTTTTTTTCATTTTTATTAAATTTATTGGGTGATGCTGGTTAACAAAATTACACAAGTTTCAGGTGGACCATTCTATAACACATCATGTTATAGAATGGGTTAGGGTTAGGGTTAGGGTTAGGGTTAGGGTTCATTGTATTGTGTGGGGGCAACTTTGCCCTCAAGTCCCCCCATCCACTACAGATGAAAGTAAATACTACCAAGACATGATCTGCTTGGGGAGGAGAGGTGGCCAGTTTCTCAGAGGAAAAAGGCCAGGAGCCCCTCCCTCCAGGGACTTTTATTAAGTTGTAATACACAGGAATACAGGGTGGCAAGGATCAAACAGTAGATAACATTTCAAAGAAATCTGAGGGTTTAGTGTGAGTCAGAGTCTGTCAGGAAAGGGGGTTTGCAGAAACTTTGAGAGACCTGCTCATTTCCTGCTTGAACCCTTAACATATGAATGAAAGCACTCTTAGCAAAGCAGGTTTCAAAGGATTTTTAGAAATTCTTTCTTATGCCAGATTTCTCCCCAGATAGTGCTCTGTAGCAAGGCAAGGAGCTGCACCCCTCCCCATCAGGTTTTCAGGCTTAAGTGGATTAGGGCCAGGAAACGCTTCTCCCGGAGGACACGGGGACTCTGGCTATGTCACATAGCCAGGGGACAAGGGTCCATTGCTCACTTTTTGTTGCAGCCCCTGAGTCCTTCCATGATAGCATCCCAAGTGATAGTGTCTGGCTTAGGTTGCCCCTTGCTGTGAGGAGTCATACTCATCATCAACATCGACCATGCTTTTGGGGCAAGAGAGTAAGCTGAGGCAGTGTTTGCTACCAGAGATAAGCTTTTGTCTCCTGTGGCTTGCATTCTGGAGGTTGCTCACTCACTCATCCTTAGCCATGGGGGGAGTTACAATTTCTTAAACCAGGCAGAGTGTTTTCCAACAGTATTGTGTGTTCATAACTCCAAGTCAAGTCTTCCATTACCATTTATTAGCCCTATGTCTTCCTCGACTTCCCTGTATTCCAACCCTTGACATGGCAATCCCTCCACTCTTGTCTCTGCCATGAATTTCTTTTTTCTCTTTTTCCATCACCCCTCCTAGCCCCTTAACCTCCATACCCTGATAAATGTCAGCCTGCTCTTTATCTATGAAACTGTTTCTATTTTTCTTGTTAATTCATTTGGGTGAATAGATTCCACATGCATCTAAAATGATATGGTACTTGTCTTTCTCTGACTGGCTTATTTCACTTAACATAATGCTCTCCAGGTCCCAAATGGTAAGAGTTCATTTTTATGACCTAATAATATTCCATCATGTAAATGTAGCACAGTGTTTTTACATTTTTATTTTACTTTATTTAGAATATTATTAAATAACAAATTAAAAAACACCATGACAAGTTGAGAGACTGAGAAAGAAAATAACTTGTCTATGTAAATCACACTTTTGCTCTTTTTTGAACAAAAGGCTAAAGATTTTTATTTTGCACTGAACTCTGCAAATTATTTAGCTAACTCTGGCTCAGATGACTTTTTCCTACTAAACTTGCTTTGGTTCTTACCACTTCCAATTCAAAATTAATTGTTCCCTGCCTTTCACTTCTCATTATTTATTTTCATTTTCATTGTTCTTTAATCAGTCTGCATTCCCACCAAGAGTGCACTAGGGTTCCCTTTTCTCCACAGCCTTGCCTGCACTTGTTTGCTGATTTCTTTATGATGGCCACCCTGACCCGTGTGAAGTGCTACCTCATCATGGTTTTAATTTCCATCTCTTTGATGGCAAGTGATGCTGATCATCCTTCATATGTCTCTGGGCCTTCTATACGTCCTTCTTGGGGAAGTGTATGTTCAGGTCCTTTGCTCAATTTTAATTGGATTGTTTGTCTTTCTGATGTGGAGTCACATGAGTTCTTTATATATTGTAGAGATACCTTGTCCAAGGTATCATTGGCAAATACATTTTTCATATGTTCGATTCCCTTTTCATATTGCTGATATTTTCTTTAGCCATGCAGAAATTTTGTATTTTGATGAGGTCTCATTTGTTTATTCTTTCAATAATAGAATTAGGCTCTCTATTCTGTTCTATTGATTTATGTATCTGTTCTTATCACAGTACCAGACTCTTTTGATTGCAGTGGCCTTCCAATATAATTTTATATCAGGTATTGTGATCCCTCCTACTTTGTTCTTCTTTCTTAAGATTTCTGAGGCTATTCAGGGTCATTTATGGTTCCATATAAACTTTTGAATTATTTGTTCTATGTCTGTGTAATATGTCTTTGGTATTTTAATAGAGATTGCACTGAATCTATAAATTTCTTTGGATAATATGGACAATTTGTTGTTTGCCTTCTGACTTCTGCCTGGATCTGTATGTAGTTTTATCTCAGTTCCAGAGAGAAATCCAGATCGTACTGTCTTACTGTCAGTTCTGGATCTTACTGTCTTACTCCCGAGAAAGAGAAAAAGAAAGAAAAGAAAAAGAAAAAGGAAACCTGCTGAGCTGGTTTTGTACATCTTCTAGGATCCTGCAGGCATAGTGGGGCTGGGCTCTGTTTTTCCCTTTCCTGTGGTTCTGCAAGGATGGAGGCTCAGTCCAGGTTACAATAATCACAGGTTTCCACTCCCTCATAGCAATGTGCAGCCCCCACTCTTCACTCTGGGCATCTGTGCCTGTCGGGCATGAATAAGCCACCTCACTCTGTACCTCTTTGATCAGTCTGTGAGGTGAAGTGAAGTGGAAGCAAATCACACCTCCCTCCTCCCTCTTTGTTGTCCTGGCTGAGGTCCCTGCACTGAGCGTCTCTGTTTCCCATGAAAAAAAAATCTTTGTGTACAGCTGCTGCTACAAGCTTCCACCTTGTTTTCTACACAGTCCAATGCTCTGGTAAGTCCAGAGTCTATCTGGGTCAACCCTGGTCATGTCCCATCTCTTCTATAGGGAACCTATTCACATACAATGGCAAATGTAGCCCAGCCGTATTGGAAAGCCCATAGGCACCTGTCGGCATGCAGGATGCCAAACCCACGGATCAGCTTTCCAGTAGGTAATCAGGCCTGCATTATACCTAGGCTACTTTGTGACTTGCTCTTGCTAAAAATCCCTCACTCTGAGTTGAAGCAGAAAATGCTTACTGCATATCTTTAAAGTAACTCCCTGAAGTCTGTGCTAATTCTCCCAAGGATTAAAGTGTAACCAAACCAATTCCTCTTATTGTTCCCTTGCATTTGCAACATTTTTCCTTGTTAATCCCTAGGAAGTAATCAGTAACATCCTTTCTGTTACTATCTATAAAAAGTAATTACCTAAAACTAAGCTAAATATAATGAATGAGAACCTTTTTTGATGTATGCTATTAGAAAGCCAATAAAAGCTTGTCAAGGCAAGGGTTGAGGCACTCTCCCCTTGACAGAGTAGACATGCCATCCCTTTTTCTCCACAGGACTTGGTAGTCCGTGTGAATTTGTCTTGTCTCATCCACAACGCCGCAGATACTGCTGGCCAGAGTCCGCATCAACTTTCTATAGTGACTAAAATGGAATTACCTACAGCTGGATGGGTACTTGTAGATGAAATGGATATCAAATTAAGAAATGATACATTTTTCAACTCAGATATTTACCTAGAAAATAGTTACATACATACGATGTTACATTGAAAAAAACATAAATAAATTAAGGGAGCAGTCTAGTTACTAGTAGTGTTTTAAAGGAAGCATACTAATAAAAATCCTAACATTAGAATTTCCTGTGATAGCGTGTACAACAAGATCATTTTTTATAACAGTAGATAGTATGAAAAGCTGTTATATTGAAGGCTGAAGGCTTCTGCATCTTGTTCTGGTTGTGCCATTTTCAACTCTTTGAAAGCCACTTACACTCTCGGTTTATGTATCTCTGGTTCTTTATTATTTTAAGACTCTTGGGGCACTGTGACTAATACATCTTAGGAAGGGCATTAACTTAAATGCATGTAAGTTTATTGTTTCTTTGTCTAAAACCTGCTCTTTCAGGCAGCTTATCAGAGTGGACTTTGAGAAACAAAACCTTGGGATCAAATTCCATTCCTCTTGATAATTTATTTAATATTTTTGTACTTCTGTTATCTCATCTGTGTGTGTGTGCATATAGGTGGGGTGAGGATTCATAATTGTTGTAACTTTTTGTGGTAGAATGGTATGGGTAAAACCACATCACAGTGCCTGCTGTGTATAGTAGTCATGAGCCATATTTCAGAAGCTTGAAATGTAAAAATATACTTCTTTGTCAATTGCTCCAGAAGCTTTCATATACTTTATTTCATTATCTTTCATAAAAAAAATGTGTTCTTTAAACAGGTTAAATATACACTGATTCAGATTTTATGAATAAGAAGACCAGGTTAAAAGAAATAGTTGATTTCAGAAACTTGGCAAACAATATTGCAGAGCTTGGGTGAGAAGCATGTGCTCTCTTCCTCATTCAGCCGAGTTGTGTGCCACATATTGACGCTTCAGTGAAAAATGAACAGCACGCATGAGGGTGGTCCCTGAGGATTATAATAAAGCCAAATTTCCTGTAAGAAATGAAAGGATACATGGTTGCAGATAATTTTTTTAAAAAATTATAGTTGACATACAATATTATATTAGTTTTAGGTGTACACCCCCATGATTAGATGTTTATATAATTTGGATTGTGATCACCCTGAGAAATCTAGTACCCACCTGATACAATATATAGATATGACAATATTTTCAACTATATTCCCTATGCTTTGCTTTACAGCCCAAGGACTACTCTGTAACAACCAACTGAACTTCTAAATCCTTTCAACTTTTTTACCCACCATCCCAACCCTCTTTCCATCCGGCAACAAATATTTCTCTGCATCTGAGACTGTTTCTATACTTCTTGTTCAAGATATAAATTTATATAAAATTCCTTAAAATTAATAATTAATGGAGGTAGAGGGTAATTAATTTAATTCTAATTTTTAAAACAAATATATACATTTATTTATTTACTTACATAGTTAATAGGCCTGACAGTAGGCATTACAGATGAAAGGAAGAAAGGAAGGAATGAAGAGGGGTTTTTTTTTGTTCTTCAGGGATCTCTCTACTGTATGTATATATGGGGAGGAGAATAAAGAATATTAAACGGATTAACTAGAATGGGCTATGAACAGAATACTAAATGCTAAAATCAAGAGGCACATTAGATAGATTCATGACATTAAATATTGATTACATAAATATATGAGAAAGAGCTTTTGCAGTCATTTATATAAGTAAAGCTTTCAGGGTTTATTTTATTACAAGTTTAACACCATCCAACACTGGGATGTACTTGCTAAAGAAGTAATATAACCTCTGCATCAAAATAAATATGTTTTCTCAATATTGGGATGATCTGCCAGAAACTAAACTATTTGTAAAAGAAAGCTATCTTCAATTTAAAAGGGAAATTTGAAGAAATTATAATATATTGGCCCAGACAACATGAAATAAGTTTACCATGGGTAAAGTTAAAGATAATTACAATAAACATGTTGGACAAAACTATACAAATCATCATTAGGAGGAAGAGAGGAAAGAATACTCTCTCTTGATATACATGTCTGAAGAACAATGAAAAATATTAAAGAGAAACAGCTGGATTATACCAGAGTTAATTTATCTCAGTTGAGAAATAGGGCCTTTGCTTATATAGTGGATGTCCCATCCACTGAAATACCTAAGAAAACATGCATGGGGTAACTGCCTATAATAGATTTATGACAGAAATTTCTAAATTTGATGACATATTTACTTCCTTGGTCTTTAAATTTCTTCCAAATCTAGTCTTCTTCATTTGAGGAAAAGTGTCACTCTTCCGATGAAATAATTTGAGAAATAATTTGATAAGTATTTGAGAAAAATACTTTTCTAGGACAAATAAAACAATTATTTAGTAAGAAAGAAGCTGGATTCATACAAAAATTAAGTTTGCCATTTAATGTATCTAGCATATATTGACCTTGTCAAGACTCAATACATCTGAGACCATTTTTTTCAGGGGAGAGGCTTGAAACATTTTTAAGGTCTTCCTTGTCATCTTGGACCTGGGATTTCCTTGGACCACCTTCAATACTGTGTGAAATGAAACATTTTGCATTTATATATTTGTGGCAGAGACTGGCTAGCTATTCAACAAAATTCTGTCTTCTTCCTGTGCACACAGCTGGTCGGTGCTGCCAACCACCTTAGCAGTTTGGTTTGGCCATGTGACTGAGTTCAAGGCCAGGAATACAGGCAGGACGATGGTGTGACATACCCAGGCCAAGCCCAGCACAATGTCTCACCAGTGATTTCCCATATTTCTTCCAATGCCATTAACTTATGGTTGAGACCACAGTGGCTTTGGCATTTTATAGCACAGATACCAGACTCATATGATGGGAGAGGTCTAGGCATCTGAGTTTGCACTCAGTGGAGAGATGCCTGCTGATGAAGTTCGCCCACTCACAAATGAAACATGGGCTTCTTCTAAATCTGTGCCATAAATGGAGACAACTGTATTTGAACATTAATGAAAGATAAAAATAAATTATAAAAAACAACTAACTAATTTGAAGAAAAGTGTGTGAATTGTTGCAGCATTTTATATCACCTGAACCGATATGGGTGTGTGTAGGGTTATACTCATCCTTAAATTCTTGGCTAACTTTAATGCAGTGGTGGGAATTCTTAAGTAGGTGGTCATTCATAACTTGTGTATAAAAACAGGAACCTTCTTTGTCTTGTTAGTTATACTCAAAACAGTCTACAGATCAAGGTCTTTGACACAGTGGCCATATGCTAAATAGTGTTCTAATGGTGTAGCAGATAATAGCAATTTTGATGAAATTACTCAGTAAAATATTATTTTGACAAATGTTCACTGTATGTACACTATGAATCAATTACTGTTAGATAGTATCATTCTTATGAATAAGTCAAAGATGTCCAATGTTCTCATAAAGCTTAAAGCCTATTGAGGGATAATGATGACTTCATTTTTCAGAACACCAGAAAAATATGAGAGTTATGGCTGAAGAGTCACAGGGGCTTGTGGGAACAGGGGCTCTGATCTATAATAATAAAATTAGAAGTGGCTGGATGGATCTGGATTTGAGAGTGGAATCAATAAAATTTGGCCACTGCTTGAAGGGTGTAAGGGAGAAGAAAAAGCTGAAGAATTAATTTAGGATTTTGGTTTGAATAACTTGGTGATGGTAGTACCATTAACCAAATAGTGAAAACCAAAGAAGGAGCAATGTATGGGAAAGAATAAATGACAAAGTCAGCTCTTGATATTTATTGAAGAATGAGGTCTGTTGGAGATGAGTCCATATCTTCAGCAGGCACTACAATAGTGAAGTATGGCATTCAAGTGGGTAATCAGAATTTGAGACACAGGTTTATAACTTGTTAGTATAAACATGGCAGTGAAACTGTAAGAATTACTTCTGAGAAAGCAGCATAGGCAAAAAGAAAAAAGGCATATGATCAATCCAGGAGAATCACTCCTTGTATCCTCTCTAGGTTTGTCACACAAATCTGTAGTTAACATCGAGGAAGAACAGGTTCCTTGTTTTGTTCAAGGAAGAACAAAGATGTTCTTCCTTTGAACACACCATACCTGGAAAAGGAAGAATCTCTGCTTGGTACTCTTCTGTAGTATGATAATTTCCTTATTGTGAATTTTAAAAAAAGATAAAAGGCATTAAAATAGTCACATATCATCTCTGAAGAATCCTGTCTGAATGTATTGGAAACTCCCTTTTGAAAATAATTCCTACACATTTTTATCCTGTTCAAAATGTAATTTACCTGGAACCACAATTTTTACTGGAAAACAAAAGCCTCTCCACATGTGTTATTGGACTTTAACATTTAAGGCAAAGCAAAAGAATGCTACAATGAATCCTTTGATCTCTGCATTCTACGATGAGGTGGAAGCTGAGGTTCCATCAGCCACAGAATCAATAATTATCTTAATGTGCATGTTTCAAGGTAGCTTCTGAGGTGACCACTACTACGTAAAAGGTATGTGCAAAGTACAATTGTCTAACTCAGAGCTGACTTAGACTAAGAAAAGGCACCTGAACTTTGACAGTTAGCCTTGTTAAGATTTATCACAGCAGGAAATGATGATGAGGTGACTCACTGGTCTACCCTCAATCACTGGTAAGTCAATTTCTTAAGTTCCAGAGAACAGGAAAGTGGTAGAGCCAGGATGTAAACACAAATCTGTCTTGCCTATATTCCCAGGCTCTTTTTCATGACTGTTCTGGCCCAGTTAGGACACTATAGATTGATACCTGTGAAAAGAACCCTGATAACAGTCACTGTAATCTGTATTTGCCCTACTCAGATTCACACTCCAAGAAAAACATTGAAAAGTCTCAGTCACTCTATCTAGTTCATTAAATCAATCAGATTTATAATGTACCATCTGAGGTCACGATTCATTATGATTGTCAATTTCAAAAATTAAATTTAAATTTCTTTGAGACTTTATAAGGATCTAAATATAACAATACACACTGGAGAAGCTTTTCTTCACAAATTTAAAGAATCGTCAGTAGCTAACGATTATAAAATACTCCTTTTTAAAAAAATACTCAATTCTATGTTACATAGTGCCTATTGAAGACAAGATTTTCATAGGTACAACATGGTCCATTTCCCTACCCTGAATGAGGGAAAACCATAGGCTTCCTAGAAAATGTCAACCCCAAGTTAACAGGCTGCAATTTGCCCCATCCTTCACATCTTGACTTCTGAAGAAAATTGACCATCAATAAGTTCAAGAACACTTTCTGGAGGAGGCCTTGTTTTGGCAGTAGTGTACATGCCAATAACTTTCTTTTAGAAAGATCTCTCCCATTATAGTCTCTCAAATGGGACATGTAATTGCCATATTGTTCAGCCCTTAAAAAACTGGCAAGTAGATGAGGGAGAGACCAATCTATAACAACCCTGACTGAAGAGACAAAGTTTGACAAGTGATGAGGTTGACTCTGGGTGTTAGAGTTACACAGTGGGTGCACAAGTGCCTCTGGAATTCAAAGACTAGGGATTGAAAGGGATAGGGCAGTGGAGAGAAGACAGTTGTTTTGAACTTTCATAGTTATTTATTATTTGTCTTTAATTTTGGAAAAAATGTTAATACCCATAGATGGCATTTCCTTGTCAGTAAGACACACATAACCTTTCCTAGTCCCTAGGAAAAATGGCTTTTTGCTTTCAAAGACCAACTTTTCCTTCTGATTGCACATAGAAAGCATAAGAGAGAAGCACAAAAGTGGCTTGGAATCCACCTGTGCTCCTGTCTCTGCTGTGTGGAGGGAATAAGGGACTAACTATAGAGGGAGCAGGTCAGTTGCCTAGGTCCTATATCAGGGATTTAGAATAATGGCCATAGAAGAGGGGGTCCTTTCATAATGGCCTGCAGCCTAAACCATGCTAGTAGTCAGTGTTACTCAAAAGAAAATGCAGAGGACAATTAGAGGAAAGAGTCCACTTTTAAAAACCTAGTTTTTTTGTAAGCATTGAATTATTCTCTTAGTGCTTCATCATCATGAAATATATTTTATTACTCTTGAGCAACATTTGCATGAGATATTAGAAAAATTATTTGAATACAGACCTTAAGTCTTCATGTCAGATAACTATATGTTTCTAAGGATCACTACACTTAACTAACTGACTAAATTTTTTAGTTAACTAAAAAATTCAATAATGTGCCATGCCAGGAGTAATATAGAATGCAGTATGAAGTTTTGCATACTGTTCTCATGAACTTCAACAACTGAGCTATTGCATACTTAGGGTGGGAGGTAAGTTTTAAACCAAAGACTAATACTGAGGCTAAAAGAATAAGAACTAAGAGTAAAGACACAGAGGACATACGATAGTGCCAAATATTTAGAAATGGGGACTTGAAGCCAGATGTAAAGAAGTTGTCTGCAAACTAACATGGCCAATGAAGAAATCAGACATACAATCCTACCCAGAAGAAAGCATATACAAAGGCACACGGTCTATGTGAACTCTAGTCTGAGTTGTTGACCTTACCTTAGGAGAATCCCAGATTGTGTGCGAGTTGAGGGTCAACTTCAACAATTTGATTGATAAATATTTGGCTTGCCTGGTGCCCTTTCCGAATGACCGAATCAATCAAATCTCGGGCCTTATCCATAGCTGTGTAATTTTCTCTTCTTACTTTCTCCATCTCTTCCTGGTTCAGCACTCTTTCCTCTAATAATCCATCCAACAAGCCATTTATCGTGCCCATAGTCACCGATTGGATAAACCCCCTCCTTTTTGACTTCAGAAACCTGTCTGTTTGAAGCACAAAGATTCCTCAAGTGACTAAGACAACATTTCTTCTCATGTCAGGAACAGGGAAGAGCCTCCTTTAGATTTAATCCATTCAATACCCCCCTCCACACAGTTCACTCATTCTGAGAATATGCACATCACTTATTCTCCCTCAGTATTGTCCATGTACGGTCACGGTATTGCCTAGATTCTGAGATTTGTTATGTCGAAGTTAGTGCCCGAAAACCAGACATCATCCTGACATTGATGCATGTTTATTCACCTCAGCAAAATAAAAGAATGAAACAATGGTAGTCTCTTTTCCATGAGGATAACAGCTGCTCTAGTACTTATCTTACAGGGATAATTCAATTAAGATTGCAAAATGACATCAGAATATAAGTAATGTCCCAGTTCCTTTGTGGCCCTTGCCTTTCTTTCCCCAACGCTGTGAAAGTCTCCTGGCCTCTGTCTTACCTTTGCCTCCCTCCTCTTTCTTTCCTCTCTCTCATTGCTGCTCACTTAAACATTCACAAAACCTAATTCTGGTTTCCCAAAAAGCCAGTTACTTTTATTTTTCCACCCAGGGCATGCCCTTTTAGGCTGTAAAAAAAACCAAAACAACTCACCCGCATTTTCCATGGCTTTTCTTTCTTGTCTTTAACATGCAATGTGAAAGTGAAAGTATATTGAAACTTCCTTTTTAGCAGGCTGTGTATGCATATTAAAAAGCACCAACTGTTCATGGAAATGCATGCCTATGTTTTTTCTTCATAGTAGCAATCAGATTGTTTAATCTTAAAGAGCATTAGGGAGTATATCCTTGGGAAATTTCTTCACAGCCTTTAGATCAGGTCAGGATAGGTAGGGAGTGGAGCCTAGACAATAAGAAAGGAATAAGAAAGTATGTATATAATTAAACTTACACAATAACAAGTATTTCATTTGTTAGGAAATATAATCTGGAAAAATAACTCTTCCATTGGTGTCTTCATCTATACATGGTGCTATTAAAAAATACCACAGACTGGGTGGATTATAAAAAAAAAGAAATTTTTCCTCACGGTTCTGGAGTCTGGAAGCACAAGGGTGGGTGCTGGTAGAGTCAAATATCTTCTTATCTAAAACTCTATTTTCAGATGGTTCTCTTTGGGGGAACACTATAGAGACTAACAGCTTAGGCTCTGGAATCAGAACATCTGACTTAACTTATTAACCTTCCATTTGGGGCAAGGTATTGAACTTTCTCATTATCTAGTTCCTCTATTTGCAAAGTGATTTAATTAATAATATATAGCTACACATCTTTCAGCATTAACTGAATAAAAATGTGAAAACTGCCATAGAACATTGTCTGGCACATTGTTAAACACACAATGTTATTTGTAAATACTATTATTTTTAATTTAAGGGTTTCTAAATTAAAAATTAGACGACTAGTCAACATTAGTTTTTTTCCATATTATCTAGTTAAATTTTTCTTTTGTGATAACCTACTTTGTGCATCTCATTCATTCATTCATTCACTTCACAAGTGACATACTTCATGCTAGACACTATGTTAGACCATGGTAGGTGCCAGGGCTAGAGTCCAAACAGTCAGCAGCCCCTTGCCCTCATGAGATCATTTTCAAGGAGAGAAGACAAATGTGAAACCCAATATGTAACTGGGACAATGACAGAGTGCGGTAACTGCTAAGGAGAACAAATTAATTAGGGAAGTACTTCATGAAATATTGGAGGATGTTAAATTGAAGACAGAGGAGCCCATGAAGGCCAATGATGTCACCGCTTTTAGTAAGTACATGTTCAATTGCTATTCCCCACAAAAAATTCAACATAACCAATTTATTTCATAGATATGATTGATGGAAGATGGCCTGATCATAAAATGCCTATTAGCCTTTCAATATTATCAACAAATTTATTTACTAAAATTGCTAAAAGAATCATTTCCTTTGTTTCCCAGGAGAATAATAATCTAGACTTAATAAAATATTCAGTGTGTGTTTGTGTGTGTACACATATGCGTAAAGGCAGGTTATATCTAAGTTAAATATTAATAGCTGCATTACCGTTAATTTAAAGCTCTATACTACTGAAAATGAACTTACATTTTGACATGTGAGTGAAACGGTTTCTCCCTGTTCCCTAGACTGTTAATTTTATTTTTAATAAGAATGAAATTCACTGTGTAGATTTTAATCTAAGGTTTTTCTCTGGGTGTTGTTATCTTTTCTTTGCTACCACTTGACCAGTTTGCAGCACAATAATGTGCTTCTTGCCACTGGAAGACTTACCGTAGGGAAGAAAACAGAAATTGCAGGTACATTGCTTTCTTTACACACTTATGCTTATTCATTTATTTCTGAAATGGCAAGGGCTTCACATGAGAGTTTCTCTATAAGCCAAGGTCACACACCACTGATCTGAAACAGGCTGAGGTGGCATGAGAGTCACAGAAAGAATGGCTGAGCAGTGTGCCAGGGGATGTGGAACCATGAGCACTGACCTTGGGAAGCTAAGTAGGGAAACACTACATAGCAAGGGCCCACTGTGTCCTCAAAGTGAAGATACTGGAAACTGAAAACATTCTAAATGTCTACTATAGGTGCATGAATGAGTAAACAAATTGTACTAAATGCATATACAATGATAGAATTCAGTAATAAAACAGGAGCAATTTATTAATATATGTAATAACTTGATGAAAACATTATGCTTATATTATGAGTGAAAGCAGCCATATACAATAGAATACATATTCTATGATTCCAACTACATAAAGTTCTAGGAAAAGAACAACTAATGAATTCTGACAGAAATAATATCACTGTTTCCCTGAGGAAGAGGTGGAAAGAAATTGAGCACAAAGGACATGAAGGGACATTCTGGGGTGATGAAAATGTCCTGTATCTTGAGGGTGTTATTCCACAGCATATATTTGTCCAAAATAATCAGATTATGTCCTTTAAAGAAGTATAGTTTATACTATATAAATTATACTACAATAATGTTAAATTTCAAAAACTAAAATCAGTGGTCAATATATCAATAAAATGATATATTGCATTGGAAAGAATTAGTCATCCTTATTTTTATGAAGATACTCAGCCTCAAAAACCAGTTGAAACTCTGGTAAGAGAAGGAGCTTCCATAGTGACTAAAATGGTACTATCCACAGCTGGATGGGGATTTGTAGACAGAATGGAAATACATTTTAGAAATGATGTTTGTCAACTCAGATACGTACTTAGAAAACAGTATTACTTACATAGGCTATTACATAGGTGAAATCATCATAAAATAAATTAGTGAGTAGTTCAATTATAAATAGGTTTTAAAGAAAGCATATTGATTAAAAATCCTCATATCAGAATTGCCTGTGATAGTCTGTACGGCAATATCAGTTATAATAAAGGATGTAGTATGAAAAGCTCTTACATATGAAGGCAAAAGGAATTCTTGCCAAAATGGAGGCATAGGTAGATACACTGTACCTCCTTGCACAACCAAAAAAAGGACAATGACAAATTTAAAAACAAAAAACAACCAAAACTTTCAGAAAATTGAACTGTATGGAAACCCTACAACCAAGGAGTTAAAGAACAAACATTCATCCAGACAAATAGGAGGAATGGAGATAGACAGCCAGGATGGAGAGGGCTCATGGTAAGGTGGCAGCTGGAGGACTGCAGTGGGCAAGGCAATTCAAGCTGTTCAAGAGCTGAGCAAGTGGCATTATTCTCTTTTGGATCCCTTCCCCATGTACAGTGCCACAACGCAGCATCATGGGTTGCCCCACCCTGGCAAATACCTAAGGCTCCATCCCTTACTACATAACAGGTATGCCAAGACAAAAAAATGACCCAAATGAAAGAACAGATCAAAGCTCCAGAGAAAATACAACTAAGCAATGAAGAGATAGCCAACCTATCAGATGTACAGTTAAAAACACTGGTAACCAGAATGCTTACAGAAACAGGTGAATATGGTTGCAAATTAGAGGAAAGAGTGAAGGTTATTAAAAGTCAATTAAAAGAAAATGCATAGGGAATGAACAGTGATGGTAAGTAAACTGGGAATCAAATCAATGGTTTGAGCAGAATGAAGAAATAAAAATTCAAAAAAAATGAGGAGAGGCTTAGGAACCTCTTGGATATACTGCATTTAAATGTTGGAACTTTCAATGTTCCAACATCCAAATAATAAGGATGCCGGAAGGAGAAGAGGAAAAGCAAGACATTGAAAATTTATTTGAAAAAATAACAAAGAAGAGCTTCCCCAATCTGGCAAAGGAAATAGACTTCCAGGAAGTTCAGGAAGCTCAGAGAGTCCCAAAGAAGTTGAACACTAAGGCAAGGAAGCACAAACTAAGGCACATCATAATTGCATTAGCCAAGATTAAAGATAAGAAGAGAATCTTAAAAGCAGCAAGAGGGAAGGAGACACTTACCTACAAAGGAGTTCCCATCAGACTGTCAGCCAATTTCTCAGAAGAAACCTTACAAGAAAGAAGGGGCTGAAAATAAGTATTTAAAGTTATGAAAAGCAAAGACTTACATCCAAGATCACTCAATCCAGCAAAGCTATCACTTAGAATGGAAGGACTAAAGTTCTTTCCAGATAAGGTCAAATTAAAGGAGTTCATCATCAACAAGCCCTTTTTATATGAAATGTTAAAGGGATTTATCTAAGAAAAAGAAGAAGATCAAAATTATGAACAGGAAAATGACAACAGACTCACAATTATCAACAATGAAACCTAAAAGAAAAAAAAAACTAATCAAACAACTAGAACAGAAACAGAATCACAGAAATGGAGATCACATGGAGGGCTATCAGTGAGGAGGGGGAGGGAGGAGAATGGGGGAAAAGGATCAGGGAATAGGAAGCATAAATAGTAGGTAGAAAATGGACAGGGGGAAGTAAAGAATATTATAGGAAATGTAGAAGCCAAAGAATCTATACATATGACCCATGGACATGAACTAAGGGGAGGGGGAAATGTTGGTGGGAGCAGGTACTGCAAGGTGGAGGGGAATAAAGGAAGGGAAATGGGACAATTCTAATAGCACAATTAATAAAATATATTTAAATTTTTCTCACCTGAAATTATAAAAGGGAAAGAAAAGAAAGGAAGGAAGGAAGGAAGGAAGGAAGGAAGGAAGGAAGGAAGGAAGGAAGGAAGGAAGGAAGGAAGGGAGGGAGAGAGGAAGGGAGTAAAAGAAAGAAAGAAAGAAAGAAAGAAAGAAAGAAAGAAAGAAAGAAAGAAAGAAAGAAAGAAAGAAAGAAAGAAAGAAAGAAAATAAAAAACTATTCTTTGTGAGCTAATGAGAGTTTGTAGTGGTATGCTTTGATTATTTTTATCCATTATAGGCTTTGCTGTTTGATTACTATAAGGCTCTTATATTTATGACAGTCAATTAAAAAATAAGAAGGCAGAAGACCCCTGTGTTGTGTTCTGTTTGTGCCATTTTAAACCCTTTGAAAGCCACTCACACTCTCAGTTTATGTATCTCTTGTTTTTTATTAATTTAAGACTGTTAGGACATTTTGACCAATAAATCTTTTAAGGAAGATGGAGGTATAAGTAAACGCAGCTTGCCTCTTCACACAGCCACAGCAAAAATTACACTTAGGCTACAAAAGAAATATCAGAATCATCAGAAAATTTAGCTATT